AAAGTTCCACCACGCTGATGAGGCTCTCACAGGGAGAGGTCCGAGAAACCCCGTTCAACCGTTAGCTTATATTAGGGCCCCAGGCAACAACCAGGATGGGGCTTTAAAACAAACAAAAAGATTTAAGTCCTAATTTTTTTTTTACCGGGTTGGTCTCCAAAATGCCCAGTCCGGCCGCCCGAATACCTGGAGGATATTATGTCGGTAATCTGAGAATCTTTGTCGATTGGGTTTTACCCGTGTCTTGGTTTTGTGACCGATCCCGGTCCCTTTGGCCAGATTAGTGCAACAGAGCTACACTTTGATCTTAGCCAAAAGGTGTTCAAGACCTGGGTGAACAAATAAGGGCGGCGGGATGTATGCATGTATGTATGAGTTTTGTGTAGATAAACATCATTATCATCACTTTTAATTTTTTTTTTTACGCAGTGTACACATAACATGTATATACGATATGAAATTGCCAGTTTTTCACCAACATCATCATCAGAACCCTCATTGCTAGCTATATTTGTCAGGATACTAATACACCACCAATAAGTTCTGAATCGCCCCAACTTTCCTCACCTTCTGTCCCTTTCTGCCTTTTTTTATTTTTTTTTTTAAGTTTCTCAGTAATCAGAGGAATATTTATCTATCCATTGAATAATGGGCAGCAATGGCTGTTGTCATTCTGTGTAAACGTAGGCGCTGTTTAATGTCATTGGTCTGTACTTTTCCCATGGCAACCTCTTGCTTTCACATGCGACTTTTTCACGGGAAGCCCCTGCGTTGGTTTGGCTGCATTCTTACTAGAACAGACTCTGAAAGCATGCTGAAAAAGGTGAAGACAGGGATGCTTCGAGCAGAGTGGCAAGTCTCACTGGAAAGGTCACGGGTAGTGTCTTTTCTCCAGGCTATGCCGACATAGTGGGTAATGAACACGCAGACACATTGGCTGGACATGCACCACTGGGTGATGAATTGATATTAGACAAGGCATATGTGGTCAAGTCCCTTTGGGAACAAGCAACGGAATCAGTAAAGAAACAAGATTATTATGGTCTGGAGAGAATGAGGCACCTGGGTGTAACCAGAGGGTCTGTCCGGCTCACTACACTCAGAGGAAAGGCAAGACGGACATATAACCAGACTGTGACCATCAGTATTGGAACTCTGCGCTGACTGCTAAAGATGAGGACGGACCATACATGGGAATGTCCCGAGTGCTGTGATGTCAATTCTTTACTCAACTTTCTCAGTGAATTTACTACATGGTGTTGTTCCTACAGTTTGTCTGATAACATCATTTCTAACTTTGTCTCGGATGGTTAAATTGGCGAATTTTCTCAGGCACCTCATTTCACAGGTGTTAATTTTACGTAAGTTAGCCATTGATAATGTCCAATTCTGGTACTGGTAGCACAGAGTTGGTATGAATATGCCGTCCATAATCTGTTGACTGACTGACTGGCTTTCTACCCCACTAGGACATTACACAAGCGATAAACACACGATGACACAAAGTGCCACCATGTGGATGAGGGTCGCCGTGGAGAGGTCCCAGAAACCGCGTTCAGACAATTGGCCATATTTATGGCCTGCCTATATTGCGGCCCCTGGCAAAAGCCAGGGCGGGGCTTCAAATAGCAAAAAATGTCGTCCTAAAAAGGACGAAACTGGATACTAAATATAGATAATCTGTTTCTTGGCGCTGAAATCTTCTTCTTTTGTCAAAATCTGCTTGTGCCGCTAGGCGTCGCAGTCTATCAGATGATCGGCAACCGAGCCAGGGCGCGCTCAGTCGCTTCCTATGCCGTGATGTTATGAAGTCTCAAGTTGTCCGTGACTCCTTCAATCCATCTTCTTCTTGGTCTTCCCCTGCCTCTTGGTGTTTCGATTTTCATGTTGTATGCTCTTGATGCTGGCATCGTTGGTTCCATTCTCACTAGGTGACCAAACCATTTCATTCTTTGCTTCTCAATAAATTTAACGATGGGTATAGTTCCAATAGTTCTTGTAATCACATCGTTTCTCACTCGATCTCTTCTGGTTTTATTCGCAGCCATTCTAAAACATCTCATTTCACTGGTGGTTAGTCTTCTCTCGTGTTCTTTTGTTAATGTCCAAGTCTGACATTGATAACCTAATGTTGGTATAAAGATTGTATTTATAATTTGTCTTTTTATCTCAGCTGGGGCAGCAGGGTGTTTTAAAATTGGGCCAAGCTGGTATGCGACATTGTTGGCTTGTTGGATTATTGCTTCGATCTCTCTGTCTATTTTACCATTGAATGTAAAGATACTTCCCAAGTATTTAAATTCTTGCACTTGTTTTAGGCTGTGATCTAGAATCTCTATGTCGATGGTCTGTTGCTCTCTACTTATGCTCATGACTTCTGTCTTTTCAGTATTGATCTTCATATGATGCTTGAGGCAACTGTCGTGTAGTAGGTTTATGTGGTCTTGCAGCTGCTTACTATCACTGTGAAAAATGCATTCATATATTGTTTCTAGAGCAGATTTGTGTGAACTCTTAAATCCACTGCCGATTTGCTGGACCTGGCGCTGAAATAAAACGTAAAAATCAGTGACGTGGTGTGGGCGGAGTGCTGGAGTTATACCCGCTTGGAGATTTGACTTGGGAGTTACCAACCCTTGATACTGACGTGTTCACTGTTCACGTCTGGAAGATTGGCAATTACTTTGTTGATCAAATAATTCATATTTACTTCTGTGTAACGTGTACACTTTGGGTAACTATCTCTGTTAACTACATGCTGACAACATTAGGAATCTAGATTATTCATCGGTAATTATCAGGGGCTGGGTATTTAGCCGAATCTTAACAAAATACCACCGATAACAGACAGTCGCGCAAGACAAACCTGGAAGTTAGCAGTAGCCAGAGAAGGGTAGGCCGAGTTCAGTAGCAGAAGTCAAAAAGTTACTTTGTGCGTTGCGGGAATGAGGGAAATTAGTTACCAGTGTATTGTTAGTGGTTAATCTAGAACGTAATTATTTTGTTTGAACCAGATAAAAGACTAGCTAAACCGTTCATGAAAGGGGAATAAATAATAAACAAAAGGAAAAAAATCAATTATTAAGAAGTAAAGTCAAAGCCTGTACACACGTAGTAAATAAATGCTGCATAACCTAGCGTTTACCAGCTGTAAACTCTGGCGGAAAGTTATGGTTGTTCATCCACTTCTGGATTGCAGTCCTGTTCCAGAACCTGAGTGTTGCGTGTGCATCCGTTTAACAGATCTGACTAATTTGTATGTATGCATGCTGTTGGTTCCTTGCCTCTCTCAGGCAGATGCATTCCGACTTCGAAGGAAGCTCCCAATTAGTATTAGTCGACTCTTACGACATGCTTTTGGGTAGGCAGTGGGTCTATTCTTGTTTTTCCTATAATAGGACTTTTTATTTGTAAAAGCTTTTATTAAGTTTCTCCATATTTCTTTCCTGATTTTCCTCCTCCATGCAATGTGGTCCATTCCTCCCACCATAATAAAAATAAAACTGTTCTGAGGAAATTCTTTAAAAAATGTCACAAATGAATTAACATGTCTTATTAAGTAGCTCTCTGATAAAGACTTTAGTCAAGACATTTTATTTTGTTTATACTTAATAAAACAACATGTTTACATTTTATGTTAATTTATTTGCATTATATGAATAATTTAGCTCTAGTAACTGATCGGGTAGAAATTACAAACATTGCTCGACAAAAACAATGCAGTTAAAAACATATTGCATTTTTCTTCTGCCCTCCCCCCCCCCCCCCCCCCCCCCATTGGAGCATAGGCCCTCAACCAACTCATGCCAAGTTGTTCTATCCTATGCTGATGCATGCAGATCACCCCATGTTCTCCCCTTCTTTCAAGCTTCACTCTCTACCTCTCTACTCCTTGTGTGTGTTGGGTCTGCCTTATTACTTTGCCACTGTGGGTTGCAGTGCAAAAGCATTCGTTATATTGTTCATAGGTTTTCTCAACCTGTGTCCTATTCAGTTCCAGCATCTTTTCTTTACCTCTTAGTCCCCGGAACTTGTTTAGTTCTCTCCCAAAACTCAACATTAGTGATTCTGTCATGCCATTTAATTCCCTCTATTCTGCGCAGGCACCAGTTAAGGAATGTTTGTAGTCTATTGGTAATTTTTTTTCCACGTTTTTGCTCCATGCAGCAGTACTGAGTTGACAGTAGGATTAAATTTTTTAAGTTAAGTATTGGTTTTAATTTTTTTTTTTCTTCCACAAATTTCCTAGTGCTATGAAATCTCATCTTGCCTTTTGTAGTTGTATTTTGATATCTCTGCTGTGCTACTGCACGTCCCTGGTTAGCGTAAGTGGACAGACCATGCACTTAACCAGACAAACCCTTCGCGAACCACCTTGCTAACAAATAGCTAGATAAATACATGAATGGATACCAGTATAAATACACACCATGGACTACCTCCCGCTAACGCAGACTAACATATAAATTATCCTATCGTAAGCTAACATACTATCACAAAATAGCTATCAGTAATATAAGTCACAAAGAGAAACATCTACCAGTCAGAACAACACACAGTCTTGTCCCAGTCTTATTGATTAACTCATCAAAAAACTGTTTACCTCTACTTTTTGTTGTCCTAAACTTACTGCCAGGTCTGTGAGAAACCTGTGAACTCGGGAGCGACCAGTCCACTCATTACGCCACTGTGATCTAGGTATCCATGCATTACTGAACATGCTGTCACGATGTGGTCAACTAAGTACTAAGTCTGCTATTTACCACCATCATACACTGTCATCTCATAGCACACAAGACCCTGACACTTGCTGTTAACCTGTCTACTTTCAGCTTCATCTCTTTTCCCATCCTGATATTCCCTGTCGTTGCAACATGGTCCATAATTGACACACTGCTGGGTAATACATTTATCAGGACTTTAAACAAAATAGAGTTTGTTATGTAAATTATGAGCACTTGACTTTTACATTTTCTGCAGGCTGTGGCCAGAAATCAGCAATGGCAACCTACCAAGAGTTCATACAACAGAATGAAGACCGGGATGGCATACGTTTCAGTTGGAATGTTTGGCCATCAAGTCGCCTGGAGGCAACTAGGATGGTTGTTCCCTTGGGTGCCATCTTTACTCCTCTGAAAGAAAGACCAGACCTGCCACCCATCCAGTATGATCCAGTACTGTGTACACGCACCACATGCCGAGCTATACTAAACCCATTCTGGTAAGGCCTGTTTACTTGTGAGGTGTTATTGAAAGTAAATTGTGATCACTTGGGATTTTTTCTTTTTCTTTGTGTTCACCAGCTGTAAGCTCTGGTAGAAAGGTCTGGTTGTTTGTCCATTTTTGGACTTTGGTCTTGTTCCAGAACCTGAACTTTGTGTGCACATCTGTTTGACAGATCTAGCTTACTTGTGAACACAGACTTTTGAATCCTTGCCTCTCAGGCAGATGTACTCAGACTTTAAAGGAAAACTTTCTTCTTCTTTGCATTCGGTTTTGCATGCTCGGATCAGACCATCAGGTGGGTTGCCTCTATGAACTCGCATATCAGTAGCAGGTCCTTCGTGGTTCCCCATAGCTTGCTCTGCCCACTTTGCTCTTGAGAACAGGTGTCTTTTCAAAGTTGTATGAAAAAAAATAACCCTAATTAGGTGTCTTTTACAACATGTTTTAATGTGTCTATTCTCGTGTCCCCTAAAATAGATCCTCAGAACCAACATAGGGAGGTCATGGATTCAAATCTCTATTCAGATTGATTTTAAATAAGAGCAGAAAAATGTTTTGGGAAGTAAAGGTGACTAGCTTGATGTTGACTATATTGCCCACAATGTTTTGATTTGTCTTAAAAATATGGGAGCTAGAAGTGTATGCCCTATGCGCCTAAGGTGTGAAACTCTTACGAGTTCCAGGATGGTTTGTATAACTTGAGGCTTCCTCCAGCCTTGCTACTTTATCTGCATGTTTATATGTCTACATAAAACACATTGGGTATACCTATTGAAGCTTTGTTTGGGTGGGAAAGGGGGGGGGGGAGTTACAATTTGGCTTTTATATCCTGAATGAGTATGTCTTGTTTGGGGCATAAAATGCCTTGAAGAATTAGACTGACAACAGGCATTTGTTTTTATGTATAGATCATTGCTGCAAGAAGAACTTGTACCTTTTTTCCACCTGTAGGATTAACATCTCGAGAACAAGAATCAGACAGGTACAAATCTAGGAAATCTTTTTCAACCATACAGGACAGTTATATTGGGCACCACAAAATGGTTACAAAGCAGCCGGTAGTCCATTTTGGGATTATGTTGTCTTTGTACCTCTGCTTTGAAGTTGGTGCAGCTTTACCTGCTACAAGAGCCTTTGTCATTCTCTAGCCATTGGATTGTATCCTGTAGATACTGAGAAAAGATGTTAGACAGTTTAGCATCATGACCTGGTTGGACATCTGTATCAAATATGATTAGCAGTAGACAAAATGTTGTGATAAGCATGACCAACCAGCACTACATGGCATGGGCTTGAGTAAAGAGAAATAGTTTTGGTGTACTCCTGGGATGAACAGTTATCCTTTCAGGCATAACTGAAAATTGTAGTTTGCCTGACTTGATGAAGGTTCTTTAACTTAAAATCCTAATTTTTGACAAAGATGCATCCATTGTTTCCAGCCAAATTGACTATCGAGCAAAGATGTGGACTTGCAACTTTTGCTACCAAAGAAACCCTGTGAGTATGGTGGTTCTTTCTGTCACTTATATTAAAAATGCTGTATACTTCTTGTTTTTGATATGAATCCTCTGTGTACTTTAAAGGTGTGGGCTGTTGTTTCATAAATGATGTGTGTTTTTATTAACACCATGATGATTTTATCTTCAGAATTAAAAGATTAAAATTAAATTAAAAGATGTGTTCATAATTAACATTTCCTGAGCCGAATCTGAAAAGAACTGGAAAGTAAAAAGATAAGAAAGTGTGCGTGTGCATGCATGCGTGTGTGCGTGCACCATAACAGAGGTAGAATTTACTGAACTATGCAATATTCATTTGTTCACAAGTAGGCTACACAAGGCTAAGAGCAGTAAATAATTATGAAGACCAATAAGTATTACTACGAAAGCTTTTGCGAATACTAGTCTTATTTTTATTCTTTGTACACTTTCATATGTAAACTAATTATAGTTAAAGAGCATCTGTCAGTTTGAGGTTATTATCTTCATAAAGTATATCCCAGAATAAAAACTTACATTGACATTTGACAGTGTCATTAGTAACATATTTTTTTGTTAGCACCTTTCAGTCTTTCCAGATGAGGGTATTAGCTTGTGCTATGGGGAGGCACTGGAATCACAGCTCATGGTGATAGCCAGTGGGTTAAGCTAGAGGCATTTAGAAAAGTCTTCCACAATTAGAGCATGGGATTTCAGGCCCGCTGTTGCCATCACATGTGTTTAGTGCTTCTACTCAAACACTCATCTCTCAACTTATCTGCAAGTCACTTTTTCCTTTATTCCCATTCTCTTCCTCCTCCACGAAACCATGGTCCATGGCATTTTATTCCCACCACTCTATCTCAATACCTGTATTATTAATGTCCCACATGCGTACATCTTTATATTGAAGTAGAGGCCAGCCTCAACATCTTTAATTCACCAGAGAGGATGTCCTTAGGTACTTCCATCCTCCCTTCTCCAAATATGAACCAGGCAACTGAGCATCAAGAAAGCTGTTGTGATACCTACTCTTGTCCAGCCACTTAATGCCAGGCATTCTTCTTGGGCATAACATGTAAAAGCTCGTTAGCTGTTTCTCGTATTTAGTGCATTTATACTTATAATTTAACTTAACCATTGTCTTCTATTTTTCCTTAACTAGTTTCCACCACAGTATGCAGCAATCACTGAACAACACCAGCCTGCCGAAATTATCCCCCAGTTTTCAACTCTTGAATACACCATTACTGTAAGTTATTTTGATTTGTGCATGTGTTCTATTGTTGTTGCTGTTTTCTCTAACTAGAGTTATCTGTAAGTAAGTGATGAAGTCAAACCACAGCTGTCAGTATGCTGGTTGGAATGAACATTTTATGAGGCATAATAAAGCATTAACGAGGTTGTCTAATTGTGAGAGTTGTTTTTCAGCAAAATTTTCCTAGCCTAATCAACTTTCCCACTTTTATTTTTCTGTGATCATTTCAGTAACTCATCAATATTCTAACACTAAGGTAAATATATTCATATCCTGACCTCCTTAATGTTGCGAAGGCACAAACACAGCTGGTGATGCTACATGGGCTTCTCAGGAACTAACGACTGCAGAAGTGCAGATATAAACGACCACAGAAGTGCAAATCAATGATCATTTACGAGGATGTGTCTGAGATGGAAGTAACAAGATTTCAGCTTATTGGGGCGAAAAAGTTAGGGCCCTATAAAACACAAATGCCCTCCATTTGTTGACTTCGCTTTATAATAATCATTAGCATATGTTATTTTCACATTATTTTATAAATAGTAAATGATAACACACCCAGACAAATCTTTGCGAGCCGCAACCATTTTCAAAACAAGTGGCCAAGAATTTTTTTTTTTTAATTTATAACCTTCATTTCAAGTTTTTTTTTTTTTTCTGCAGAGAGCAACCTGTCACCCTCCAATATTTTTGCTGGTGGTAGACACCTGCTTTCCTGAAGATGACGACCTCCAAGGACTTAAGGTGAGATATATATGTAAGGATCTTCTGACCTTCTGGAACTGTAGTCTCTGTCGATTCATTTCACAACGAAAATTGATAGACACATTCTGTGTGGTTTTTTTTTTTTCGGCACAGGAACAGAACAACTATGGGGGTAACCCATTTGTATGGCATTAGAACAGTGATATACACATTCTGTGTGGTTTTTGTTGGCACAGGAACAGAACAACTATGGGGTAACCTGTTTGTATGGCATTAGAACAGTGATAGACACATTCTGTGTGGTTTTTGTTGGCACAGGAACGGAACAGCTATGGGGTAACCCGTTTGTATGGCCTTAGAACAGTGATTATCTGCTTTCCACACCTACATTTCTTTAGACTGTTCTCAACCTTTTAAATTGACAGGTCAGATGAGTTCCCTGAACTCTCTGCATGAATATTATCTCTGTGCGATCTTTTTGGTGATCCTTGTAGGCTGTCCCCTTTCAACTCTTCTGGATATGTTTTTTCGCCCTGTTATATGCCATTCTCTTTATAGGCCCCAATGCAGTCATTTAGCCCCCATGATGCATTAAGAACAGTCTTACAGAAATGAACATCACTCTTAATAGTGCTCTTGACAGAGCTCATCAACGAATGCTACATCTCCCCCCAACACTTCCATGAGGTACAGGGTGGAAGAGAAGAAGAAGAAAAAGAAAATGCCAGAAATTAATGGTGATTGAAACAGATTAATTGTTCATATTTGTTATATTGTGTTTATCTTGTTACCAGAAGTCACTTGAGGTGCCTCTACTTTCGTTATAACCTGTTACATTGTCGTCTGTTTTATTATGTTTTTCAGGAGTCACTTCAGATGTCACTCAGCCTGCTTCCTCCCAATGCTCTGATTGGTCTCATCACCTTTGGGAAAATGGTCCAGGTGCATGAACTTGGCAATGAGGGTGTTTCCAAGTCCTATGTGTTCAGAGGAACCAAAGATCTGAATGCTAAACAAATCCAGGTGAATATTTTCTTTCTTCCGTAGTTTGATGTTTTCACAATTGGGAGGAAGGGGGGGGGGGTTTAGGTTAGTGTTAAATTGTTTTTGTTTTACCCATACACTAACACCTCTATACTATTGGAACTTCCTGGGAACTCCCCACACAATTTTAGGGTTCCCTGGGAACTACCCACAAACTCTCGGGGTCCCTGAGATGGGATGAATGAAATAAAATAAAAGAGCCAAATTGACTCTTAGAATTTACAGCAAATTTTGGTTTTATATGTGTGTGGTCATACTAGTTGTGTTTGTGTGTATGTATTTGCAGTCATTTGTGTGGAATAATTTCATGCACAATCTTAGTTGACTGTTTAAACAATTTTCAAAGTAAAATAAACTAGCCAAACACTGTTCTATCTTAACATTTTCTTTCAAAATTTCCTATCTCACAATTGCCAAAAAACGAGAATGTGTCAAATTTGTGTAACAATTCAGTTAAAACCTAGGAAAGATTTGTTGAATTTGGCCAGATAACAACTTTCATACCTGAATGCAAACTGTTACTTGATTACTTACATTTTTTTATTTCTGTTGATTCAAGTTAGTTACAGGACACTACAGAACCAACCCCAGCATTTTTGTTAGCTGTCTGTGCTTTCACTAGCCTGTTTTTAGGTTCAGTAGTTTGCCATTGCTTCTGAATGGTTGGCCCTTTATACCACTTTCAAAACCAGTGCAAGGCAGCTTGTTCTCAAATCATCTGCAGCTGGGACCAAACCTGGCACCTTAGAATTACAAAGCGCATTCGCACTGCCTAAGTCACAAATACTGACTTCTGTTCCGAGTCCAATTGTATGAAAAAGAATGACAAGTCGACCGTGTACATCCTGCTGCAAACAGCTTTCACAGTGAACCACGTTCATTAAAATTTCTAGTCTGGTTTATTTGTGCCAGGTTTATTGGCTGAGGTTTGTGTAAATGTGCCAGGATTGATGGCTTAGTTTTCCTAACCATATATATTGCCCATCCCTACATTTCTGGGTCTCATTTTGGTCCTATTTTGTCTGCTCCTCTTGTTGGTTGTGTCACCTTTGTTCTGGTCGACTTGTGTTGATTATACCTGGGCTAGATGATAATTAGAAGACAAAATGGCAAATTAATTAGTACTCTTGCCTGCTGAGACTATGGCCAGGAATGAATGAATCAAGAATTGATATCACTGCGCTCGGGACATTCCCACACGTGCTCTGTCCCCTTCTTCAGTAACCAATGAAGAGTTGACATGCTAATAATGCCAGTTGCAGTCTGATTAAAAGTCCGCCTATGTTCCCCTTCCATGTTGAATATCTTCCAGAACGTCTACTCACCCTTCATTAAATTATTCTTTCAGTGTATTGATTCCCTATCTGTTCTTTTGCTCTGTCTTTTTGATCCCATAGAGCCTTCACCATGTCCGTTTTATCGTATAGTAGCTCACTGCTCAGAGGAGTGGCAGCAGCAAATCTAGCAGCCTGTTTGTTACCTTGCACACCTGAATATCCTGGACAGAAAAATCTATGTTAGGCTCTTGATCTGGATCTTATCAAGTGATGCAAGCCACTCTTCGCACAGGGCACCAGTTTCAGTTTTCTGAAGCATGCTCTGTGAGTCTGTTACAATTACAACATGTCAGGCTTTGCTGTTCTCAGGCTATCAGAAAGCTGCTGTTACTGCCTCACCTCCATTCTCGTACTGGATGTAGAGACGTACATGAGGCTCTCTGTTTTCAAGCAGTGTCCATTCACCTTTGCAACAAAATCCCAGCCACTCTTCTCACTGCAGACCTATCTGTGTATATTATTATGTCCCCTAGGGGTGAATTTTCATTGATTAGCTCTTGCACTGCTGACTCTGTTTCACCAGCTATCCATTCCCGGCACCCTCAGGCCACAGTAACTATCACTCTGTGCAAGTCTGTTTTGTTTGGAGGCACTGTAACCCATTCTTCACCATGCGCTATCTTGTCAGTAGCACAGTTCATGGTTAAGCAAGTGGCAGTTAATCAGTTTTTTTTTTTTGTACCTCAGTGAGGTGTTTTGGGATCTGGAAGTGGGGACCTAAGGATAATCTGTGTGCTGTTTTTTTTAATAGGTTGGATCGGTTGGCGCTGTTTGTAAGGATCATCTTTGTTTTTTGTTTTTGGGCACTATTTAAGAAAAATGGGTTCTGTCTCTGTTACAGTCGATTGGAATATAAAATATAGGTGATTAGAAAGGATTATTATCACAGCACTCCGGACAGATCCATAGGTACTGGCCATACAGGGGACAAGATGTTTCATTAACCAACACAGAACAGGCGTCATCAGTCGTTTTACACTTGGGAGCTATAACCTGAAGGCTTGGAAGAGGATCCTTTACTTCAACTTTATTACAGTATTGTAATTGTCATTATTATTGTTTCTGTTGACAGTATTTTCCTGTTTGTTTCCTTGCAGGAGATGCTTGGAATTGGCCGTGGAGCACAAGCTCAGCCACAGCAGCAGCAGAGAGGAGGAGCACCAGCCAGTCAGCAGCAGTTCCAGCTGCCATCCAATAGGTGAGTGGCTAGTTTTTTAACCTAGAGAATGTTACTTTGACATATTTCATTCTTCGGTATAAATTAGTTTCTAGGAAGTCATCATCGTCATCATTATCAATTTCCACTTTGTCATAAACCAACATAGGGAGGAACAGTTTGCGATCCTTTGCTTGAGGGTAGCAGTGGCTACTGTTGTTGTGTTTCGATGTAAATAAAATGTCTTTAATATCATCAGTCCAGATTCTCGTAGGGTTACCTCTTGCTGTCACATCAGATCTTGTCATGTGTAGCACCTGTGATGGTGGTTGTTGTTCCTGCATTCTAATGAGATGACCAAACCATTTGATCTTTTGTTTCTCGACAAATTTATTACTTAAGTGTTATTTCCACAGTCTATCTGGTGGTATTTCTCACTTTGTTTCTGAGAAGTTAATTCATCTCTCTCTCTCTCTCTCTCTCTCTCTCTCTCTCTCTCTCTCTCTCTCTCTCTCTCCCCCCCCCCCCCCCCATTCCCTTCTTTCCTCTGTCCTACTCTATCCCTTTCTCTTTGGTTGATTGTGAAGGTTGTGTGAGTTCATATAAAAAGCAAACAAGAAAAAGACCTAATGTATGTGTGTGAACACACAGACACACACACATGCATGCACACACGCATGCACACACATATATACACACACCCACACACAAACACAAATAAATTTCAGCTGCCATCTTTCATAGGTCACAATGAGCAAATGGTTAAGCTTCTCACCTCAGCCACTTTGCTGTGAGAGTCTAAGCCATGTGGAATAAAATATGGTGTACTTCAGTAATCTCATCTTTCAACAGCCTTTAACTACCCTCTTTAAATTGACAGTCTGAAATCAATCCCACCCTTTACAGCTCATTGTTACCTGTGGGCATTCTGTTTTAGGTTCCTGCAGCCTGTGCATAAATGTGACATGAACCTGACCGACCTGCTCGGAGAGTTGCAGAGAGACCCGTGGCCGGTGGCTCAAGGGAAACGCCCTCTTCGATCTACTGGTGCTGCTCTGTCTATTGCTGTTGGATTGCTAGAGGTTTGTCAAATTACCAAGCTTCAGTTTTTGTCACTTTTTTTAAATTTTTAATTGAATTGTAAAAGTATTTTATTTGAATTGTAAAAGTATTTTATTATTTCTCTATGGTGAAGTGGTAAAGCCATTTGCCATACACCCTATAGGTTGTGGGTTCCTGTCATGGACTATGTCATTCAACTTATAAGTGCAGTTTCTATGCAGATCCCTGGGAATTGTCACAGGAGCTGTAGAGTTCATGCTTTGTGTGATGCAAGCCAGTCAGTGGAGAGAGACTGAACACTATTGGAATAAATCCAGTGCAGTGAAGTCAGTTCTGTCGACTTCAGCTTTATTGAAACAGTCTGTTACAAACATCTGTATGTGACGATGTGGTTAAAATAATATACCATTAGATATTTTAACAGCTGGATGTCCCAGTTATAAATAGTAGTTCTTTATCTTTTACAGAACATTGCAGACTGTCTCCAGTATTTATCTGCTTTTTTGTGGATTTACTAGGCACTTTTTTTTTTTCAACATTACTGCGATTTGCCATTGCCTTCTGTATGATACTAGTGCAATAGTCCAAATCAATGCAAATTGGTCTGCTGCCAAATAGCCTGCAGCTGACTTGAACCTGGTATGTCAGAATTATGAAACTGCATTCAAAAACCCCTTGTCAAAGAGGCATATTTGTTAGTAAGTCTAGGTTCCGGTGTCACTGCAGGTGGGTAGGCCCTAACTGCTCCGTTTCTGCGTCAGTGGAAATTCCCACAAAATATCCTTCGCTATTGGGTTTTTCATTGCTGACTCTCACATAATTTATTAGTTGTTGTTAAGGATGTGAGATGTTGCAATTTCATGGTTGTATCTGATTGTCAGCAGAGGTTATTTGTTGGTATTACTCATATTTTCTTTAAGTGTCAATTAAAAGCTATGAATCTAGGAGGGGAAGTCAATAAGTAAGTCACAAATGGTTGTTTAAAATTAACAAATAAAAATGTAAAGATGATAAACAACGTTTATTTTTACACGTACACTGTCCCTTTATTTTTCAACGTAATTTCCACCAACAATGATGCACTTGTCTCATTGTTTTACCAGTTTACCTAGACCTGCTGCATAGAGCTGCGTGCTTTGTTTTCTAAACCACATTTTCACTTTACATTAAACTTCTGCGACATTTGGGAAATGTCTCCCGCTAAGGTGGGTTTTCTCAGTGGACCACTTTATGAACATTTGTCAGCATATACAGGAAGCATTTCTTTATGAATATCCTTTGCAGTCAGCCCTTTTGTCCCCCCCCCCCCCCCCCAACCTCCTGCACGACAGCACATTGTTTTTCATTGAGGATACACTCCGTAAGTACAATTGCCATTTTGTTTCTGTGTTGTGAATGAGCATGCAACACCTAGCACCACCAAAAGAATAAGACAAAGTTCAATGTTGCTGTCACCTAATAACACCTTTAGAAACCACCAACTGTATTTTCCTGCCATCCCGTAACCATTTTTGACTTACTTATTGATTTCCCCTCATATTATTCCAGCAGCCGAAGACAAGTTCAATAAAGTATTTAACATTTCTTACACAGTGCACTTTCCCCAACACTGGAGCTCGCATTATGCTTTTTATGGGAGGTCCCTGCACCCAGGGCCCCGGTATGGTTGTTGATGACGAGCTGAAGCACCCCATCAGGTCCCACCATGACATTGAGAAAGATAACTGCAAGTACATGAAGAAAGCTATGAAGGTATGTATGTCAATCTGTTTATCTGTTGTGTTGAATTTTAATGGTTTTCTTGTGTGGATGTCGCAACATTGGTAAACCTGAATGGCGAGTAAGTCAGTAAACTTCCTTTTTTGTTGTGCGTCTGATGCTAGACTTGTATATTTGTAGACCAGTGTTGACACTCAGTGCATGATGTGGTCAACGTCACACCGGTCACCCAGGTAATGTCATGGGAAGTAAAGTCGGCATTACCTGGTACCCACTTTAGGCTGGGTCAGTTTGGAAGACAAGATCAATAAAGTTCCTGGGATGGCATCAGTCACCCACTCACATGAATGACCGTATGACTGACATCTTTTGCCTGATGTGCCACTGACACAAAGGCTACAGGCAGATTATTACATCAGAATGGTTTGATTAAAGCCATTTTCTTCACAAGCCCCCCCCCCCCCCCCCTTTTTTTTTACCCTGCCTAATGCTGTTTTTAGTAAATATATTCATATCCAAGTCTCTTAAACATTGTGAAAGGGGCAAATGGAACCCAGCACCATTAACTAGGCTTCTCTGGGAAAGATCGCTGCTGCTGTGCGGCTTATGGGAATGAGTCACAGATGAAAATGCCTGGTTTGTGGCTTCTCGAGGTGACAGGGTAAAGAAGTATTCAAACATGTGGCCATCTGAAGGATATACAGGCATGCTATCCACAGTGCACCACACCTCCATTTAAAAAAAATTGCTCAGTATTAGGAAGTACAAATAGATCACTCTGAAAAGAATAATGCAGTTGGAAGTGACCAAAAGAAAGATAAAATGGACATGCAGTCAGAATAATACTGTTACTATTGGAATTGCAACTCTGCACTGGCTAGTGAAGACAGGGATGGAAACACTTATGGGAATGTACAGGTTTCTGTGGTGTCAGTTCTTTACTCAGCTCAGCTTCATTCAAATTCTGACTGTTGTTTATGCAGCCATGCCTGTTTTCAGATTTAAAACTACCGTAATTCCTACGCCACCAATGAAAGAACCAGTGTCAACATACGCCAAATCTAATTGTATTTGCCAGTTTAAATGCACATGTAATGCTGCTTGTTTAAGCAGAACTGATCGACAGCTGAAGAAACAGGTCGCTGAACATATTCCACTATGAGTGGTAAAAGCAGTACAAAACACTAATGCCATATTCTGAATTCTGGGCACATTGTAAACAAGGCCGGTGCATTTCAAATTATTTATACTTCAGCCAACTGCGAATTATTGACATGTATGGAAGAAACTGCTGTAAACCATTTTAGTCCAGAATTATGCAGACAGAAGGACATGGTCTTCATCTTGCATTTATCCTATTGAAACAGTTTTTGAATGTAGTCTACTCTGTGTTTCAGTTGGAGGGATTCATTTTTTGTCTTCATTTTAATAAATTGTTATTGTAGATTGCGCCTGATAGATAGAGCAAAGTATTTCAGACAGTAAATTGTGCAATCTGTGTCTTTGTTCAAATTCACAGTGAGGAAACATTGCTTTAACTCCTTTTTTTTTCAGCATTATGAAGCCTTAGCAAACCGTGCTGCAGCAAATGGTCATGTGATTGACATCTATGCATGTGCTTTGGATCAGACTGGGCTACATGAAATGAAGTTCTGTCCAAAATACACAGGGTAAGAATCTTTGATTGATGTTGTCTCCAAGTTTAATTTTTTTTAATTGTGGTTTTGTTTTTGTTTGTTTAATGATTGTTGATACTCATACACAGACCAAAAAAATTAATAATATAATGGCCGAAACAACCCATCCATTAAGTAAAGAATGTCATCCAGACAGGCACCAATCATCTGTTGTAATGTATCAAAAATTGTAACGACACCTAATTGCTGTAATAACAATATAATTCTAACAATAACACTATCGATGCAACTGGTACGGTTGAAATTTGAATTCTATGTTGGCTGCTGAAGATGAGGACGGAGCGCTTTTAGGAATATCTCAAGTGTTGTGATGTCAGGTCGAAACTCAACTCAGTCTTTCACTGCATATTTAAACTGAGACCTTCAATAATGTAGTGGCTGCTCATAATAATGTAGTGGCTGCTCGTAGTAGTGTATTGGCTGCTCATAGGTTTGAATCCTCATTATAAATGTTAACATTCACCAGGGCTTACGGGTTGACCTAACCTTAAATGAGTATGTGCTTTTGGAGGTAAATTTAGCCGGAATGAAAAAGACCACATTACCCATCCTATGCCACCTCAGTCAGTAGCGTGTCCTTTGCAGAACCTTGCTCCCATAACAACTCTCCGGAAAATTTCTTGATCACAAGCAAGATGTCCTATGTCCGATACACCCATCTGGAGATCATCCGTCAGATCCTGCACCCATATTATCTTTTGCCTTCCTCTCTTCGCCTCTAGGATTGTTCTCTCTAAACTTTCGAGATGTTTCAAGTGACCAAAATACTTTAGTTTTCTGTCTTTTATCGGCTTTAAAATATAGAGCTACCTGCGTTTACGTGTCATCATTCTTCCCTGCATCGGATTGCCAGTTACCCCCGGCTGGTGTAGTTGTGTTACAGCTGCCCTAATTATAACTTCTATGGAGGTTGAACAGGGAATCTGGGATCTGTCTTGTTGGTCTGCTGTGTAGATTGAAATGTTTAAATCTCAGGATATTATGGTAAACCTTTAGGTAGCAGCCCTGAGGAGACAAACTGGTCAATCGATCGATCCATATACATCTCAAGCCATGTACATTAGACCTTATATTGTTTACTTCTAAATGTTGTTGACTTTAATCTTCTACTTGTTTCAGAGGTCACCTGGTGATGGGAGATTCCTTCAACACATCCCTGTTCAAGCAGACATTCCAGAGAGTGTTTGCTCATGACCAAAAGGGAGAGTTCAAAATGGCATTTGGGGCAACTTTGGAAATCAAGGTAATATTAGTTTGTGATTGAATGAACATCAGCATAGTGTTTAATTGATATTAGTAAGCTGTTTATGAAGTATAATGTAGAAAATAGTATACAGCTTGCACATGCCAGCATCAGTGACATCTGTAAGCAAAAACAATTCGGTGCTTGAATAATATCCTACCCCAAACAGGGGAAATCCACAGGTCACAGGACAGTATAATATTTCAGGGGTTGATAGATAGGCTGCATGCAGTTGTGAGACCTAAGCTGCATTCTCTCGTGGGGCGTAGGTGGGTTGGGGTTAGGGCCAGTTTTGGATGTTTTGGGGTTGTTAAAAGCATCAGAAAGCCGGGAAACCCAGTCTTACCACCCTCTAAAATGTTGGACTATCCTGTCACGTCAACTGGGGTAGGATATTAATAATAACCAACAATTCTTTTTCTTCGGCCTATTATATCCTAGTGGAGTTTGGCCCTCTACCAGCTCACTCTGTCGTCTTATCTTTTGCTGTCACATGTAACCCACTCCATGTCCTCCCCATCTTTCTAACTTCTCTCTCTGGCTCCCTTCACAGTGTATTTTGATCTGCCCTTATTTATATACCTTTTGGGTTTCATGTTAAAGCCCTTCTAGTTATATTTTTCTATTTTTTTTTCATTGTATTGCCTATTCAGTGTCATTGTCTTTTATCACCTCTTGATTCACTGAAATATTTTTAGTTCTCTCCCAAAATTATTGTTTCTATCATACCGTTTAATTCCTTCTGTTCTGTGCAGGCACCAGTAAATGAGTTTTTAGTTTATTAATAACTGAAGCAAAACAGTTACTGTTTGAGAAAAGAGCAGAGAAAATGAAGACAATAAGCAGACAAGCTGATAAATATATAATGGCAGCAGAACTCTTGTTTCTATGCAAAATACATAGAATACCATGGACAAACTGGAAAAAAAAATGAAGCAAGAAAGAAACCAGAATTTAGACGTAGTAGATGATTTTTGTGTGTGGATTAAACTTGAAAACAAGGTGTCCCCTGGCAGACTTTATGGAAAATAAGGGAAAAAAGAAGGGATTAAACTACTTGATTTCCTGTATGGGTGCCAGAGGTCTCATTATGGGAAAACAATAATCGGACCACTATCCTTTAACAGGCATGTTGTGAAAGGGGCTTGCTTAAATTGGATGAGTTGGGATGAAAGGTGCAGATATTGCAGCCTGGCTGTAAACCACATGTGTCAACTGCCCAGCCATGCATAAATATGGATTAGCATCTGAGACAACAGATGACATCCTCCGAGACTGTCTCAGATACAACATATCAAGGCAAAACTTCTGGACAAGGGAAACATCAGTGCAAGTCAAACTTTATGGGTCGCTGATTGAATTACAGCAGACATTTTATACTAGAGACAACATTGCAGAAATAGATAATCAATTTCAGGGGAACGAAAGAAGACGAAGAAGCACTGCTCTTTTATGGGTGAAGGCAGAAGATGATGAAGAAGAATAAAGTGGTTGCACAGTTAAAATAAAACACACCTTATATGAGCCTTGATTTAGATCCGAACCTGGAAAAATTCACTCTGATTGGAATGGCACATGATGATGATGTGTCACAGAAATATGTTGTTTGTTTTAATGCATACATTCAAAAAAAAAAAACACTGTGCAGAAAGCCAAAGAAGAAGAAACCAACTTATGACTGGTGTCATCAGCCGCTACATGCTGTAGAATTTACTGAGAAGGGGATCAAAGCACTTGTGGACTGAATGGTTCAATGTGCAATGAGGATATCTGTTAACTAACTAACTGACATTCAGTATATGTGCCCACAATCAGCAGTTATCTTGGCTATTTTTGATAGAGGTGTTAGTATAACATTTGTTGATCAGGTATGACTATGCTACCATAGAACAGTAGACGATATTATCTGTTTCTGTTAACGCCAGCGTATACCAAACTTGACATCCCACATTGTGCCAATAGCTTTGAGCGAAGGAGCACATTGGAGAGGATGCTAGCCTCATCCTAAGAAAAGGAAATGCAACCTGAAAACTTCATGTTATGGCATGGCAGACCAGGCCCTTAACCTTAGCTGGCACTTGGTCTAGGAGGGAAGCTCTGACAGGCGGACAGTGCACTGCTCGTCTGATCTTGCACTTCTACAGTGGGCATTGTTCCAAACATTTTGGTGTTACCTTTCCTTTGGAGTAAACAAGGCAGGCACAGTGAGAGTTCATGATGCATGAGTAACACACGTTCTCCTCTCTACTGTCCAGGCTTTGTGTTATAGAGAAGAGGAACCTTAATTGGTCTCGGACACTGCTCAATACATGTGATGGCAACAACAGTCCTGAAATCCCATGCTCTAATTGTGGGAGACTTTCCTTAACGCAGGCGGGTCTTTCTAGTCACACCCACCATCACAGTGGGCTGTGATTCCCAGGCTTTCCCATAGCAAAGTGTAAGACTATCTTCTGGAAAGACAGAAAAGTGCCATCAATTTCTATAATTTGCTGTGTTTTTTTCTTCCAGGTTCTATGTGACCCTGTCTCTTATATTTTATAGTATTCCAAAACTGTCAGATTTGTTTTGCTGCATATTCTGCTTTTATAGCATTATTTTATTATGGTAATATAATATCTAATTCTAAAGAAATGAAAAGGATTTTTGGTGTTGTGTAGACTTCATTTTAATCAATATGTTTTTTCTGCAGACATCGCGAGAACTAAAGGTTTCTGGGGCAATTGGACCATGTGTTTCCCTGGGCGTGAAAGGACCCGCTGTGTCGGACACAGAAATAGGCTTGGGTGGGACATGCCAGTGGAAAATGTGTGGGCTGTATCCCAACACCTCCTTGGCTGTGTACTTTGAAGTTGTCAATCAGGTAAATAGTGTAAAAATAATTTTTTTTTCTCTAGTTAAAGATGAGAATATGGACTCCGCTACATCCCTATGAGTGCGTTCGTGCATGTGTGTGTGTGGTGGGGAGTGGGGGTGGCTCATCAAGGACTTTTGAGCATTCTTCTGTCAACCCACACCTCTAAGGCCAAATTGGAAAGGAAATTGTCTGGCTTGTTTATCAAGCTTGTTTGTTAACTGATATTGTTACTGACATTTAAGTTGTAATTATGTTTAGAATGTCACTTTTATGTGTGTGGTAACTGGCTTTGGATAGTATTCTAAACGGTAAATGCTTAACATTTTTATTATTATTTTTTAAAATTTATTATTATTTTTTTTTTTTAGCTTTTAACTAACCGATATAATTTTTGCTTGAATTGTATACATGCAAATTTTCTGATATTCCTGTAGTTTTTAAATTTGCTTCTCACTGTTGATTGAGAACAGGATACAGCAAATTTAAGTTTAGAATGCTCTGTGTGGGTTCCGGGGCCCCATTGTGGGGAAAAGCAAGAATAGACCCGCTGCCTCCCCAACAAGCATGTCATAGGAATCGACTAATTGGGAGCTTCCTTTGAAGTAGGGGTGCATCTGCCCAAACGGAATGATACAAACAGCTGCACACAAATGAGCCAGTAAAACAGATGTGCACACAAAACTTGGGTCCTGGCACAAAGCTAAAGCCCAAATGGACCAACAGCCAGGATTTTCCTCCTGAACTTACAGCCAGTATACAAAGAAGGAGGAGAATTTTAGAATCATGATAATTTTGTTTGCGTGTGAAATAAATTTGGAAGATTTATTATTCTTATGGTCTTTATCTGTGATTTCTTTCTAGCACAATGCCCCAATACCCCAAGGTGGTAGAGGATACATACAGTTTATAACTCAATATCAACATTCAAGTGGTGAGAGAAGAGTTCGGGTCACTACTGTGGCTAGAAGGTGAGCGGTGCTTGTCGATGTTTAGTTCATTTGCTTGGTCTTTGGAAGTAGAGTGCTAATTCATTTTATGATTACATTTCATATGTTTTCTATATAAAAAGTATTAATAAAAAGGCTGATATCTTGATTACTCAGACAGGTGTGAGAGATCAATATCTTAATTACTCAGGTGTATTGAGAGATTTATGTCTCTCAGGCAGGTGAGAGATTGATGTCCTAATTGCTCAGACAGGTGTGAGTGATTATCTTAATTGCTCAGTCAGGTTTGAGAGCTTGGTAACTGCTCAAACATGTGTGGAATACTGTTATCTTAGCTACTTAGACAGACATGTTTAGGATTCTTGTATCTGTCTATACACATGATATTTTTTTGTGTAAATAAAAAAATAACAAAAGTGATGCTTTCCTTAAACCCTGCAGCTGGGCAGATGCAAGTGCCAACTTACAGCACATATCCGCTGGGTTTGATCAAGAGGGCGCAGCAGTTATGATGGCCAGAATTGCTGTTTACCGAGCTGAGACAGATGATGGCCCTGATGTTCTGAGGTGGTTGGATCGAATGCTTATTAGATTGGTAAAGAATAGTTTTTTTCTTGAGTGTGCTAAATAGAGATTCTGGTTGGCTTTTGTTAAGGGAAAGGTTACTGTTGTGGCTGTAATACGAATGAGAGAACAAACCTTTTTTGTGTGTTTTTGTTTAAATGATCATATAATAGGTACGTGGCTTGTCTTGCATTCAATCAACCCTTTCAAACACTCCTATTTCACACAGCAATTGTATTGAATAATGGTTCACAGCTAGCTGTATAGTACAGGTGTGAGGCGGGATTCCTCTGGACTTCAGGAAGAAAGTTTACACACTGAATAAAGATACTCACAGAGAAATCTTTTAAATTTCCAGTGCCAAGAAGGTGCTACTTTAATTTATTATATTCCAGGAAGTTATTGCTTTAAGTAATCTGTTTAAGTAGTCAGGTGATTTAACAGTAGACTAGTTTGCATTGGTCAGTTCAGAAAGAACTGACAAACTGCTGATCATAAAGATGCCTAGTAAATCCACAAAATGGGGTTGGTTTATGATGTCCTGTAAAGGATCTGCAACTAACTTTAACTGCAGTAATGTTACTAAAGTATTTTATCCTGTTTATTTTTTTTCTTCCTGGGAAAGGGGAAACTAATGTAGTGCAAGGGCTAGCACATTTACCTAAAGGAGGGATGTGGGTGTTATTAGCAATGAAAGAACTGATTAATTGGCTGGCTCTGCCATAGTTGCATATGGCTAGCCTTTGGATTGTGAGGACCTTGTTAAGGCCCTTGTAGAGATAGGACGATTGGATAATTTGGGGAAGAGCAGGTCCGTATCGCTAAGAATATAGGAATTAGGAGTAAAGGTCGATGCAGCCTGGCATGAGAGGTACTCCAGACCTCAATTTTATAACCAGAAGTCTTGTCAGCCAGCCAACTGGGGATCTGAGAACCTGTGGGTGTATTCAGAGTGCCCTGAAGATAACTTAAGTCATAATAATACTTGCAAGGATGGTGGTCACTTGAATATTTTTCAAGCCTTGCATGTTTTAATTGGGCATCCAGTTTATCTCAACCTTAAATTGGCACTAGGAATTTGCTTGGAAATAAAAGTGGTTAACATAATGCCACATTTCCATTGAACACCAGACTCTCTAAAAGAAATGTGTGTAATTCTAGCACTATGTACCAACAGCTCATCATAGTATGTGAGGGTGGGACTTTTACTAATTTCCTTTTTTGACTTTATTCTGTTTTTGACAGTGCCAGAAATTTGGTGATTACAACAAGGACGATCCTAACTCATTTAGGTATTCAGAAAACTTTTCGCTGTACCCCCAGTTTATGTTTCACTTAAGAAGATCACAGTTTCTCCAGGTGTTCAACAACAGTCCTGATGAAACTTCATACTACAGGTAATTCCTTGTTCCAGTCACTGGATTTTTTTCTTCTTTGTGTTTTGTGTTTCTTTCTTTCCATGTTTTTCATTCATTTGTTTATATTACTTTTCTTTTTCAATTCTTTTTTTTTTTTTTTATTTATTTGATCTCTTTTATATTTATTCTGTATTTCTCTCTGCTCATGTTTTATTTTTGGTGTTATTTTTACTTTTTTTCTTTTTAATTAAACGTTTTTCCTCTTTTCTTTGTTTTAATTTATTTTGTCTATTTTCTTTCTTTTAGTTTATTAATTTGTTTGTTTCTTCTTTTCTGCACTCTGTGTGTCTCTTTCTTTCTTTGTTTTTATTTACCCTGGCAACATTATTAGGAAAAGTGAAGACTGTTACCTTGGATGGAATTGACCTGAAGAAAGTTTACCTTATATAAGCATTCTAAAGTCAGATATACTGTTATATTATAAAAGTCAAGAGATACTATTACCTTATATAATAGCATTCTAAAATCAAATAAACTTTTAAATTATAAAAGTTTTCTAAAGTCAGATATACTGTTACTTTATATAAGCATTCTGAAGTAAAATACTTAAGTAGAATCCTTTTTTTTTTTTTAATTACTGGAGTAAATTTTTATTTTGTTAATATAATAATTTAACCTGATCTCTTCTCTGTGTCTCTAGGCATATGTTGAATGTAGAGGATTTAACGCAGTCGCTGATTATGATACAGCCAATCCTGTACTCATACTCCTTTCATGGACCCCCTGAGGTAACTACCTGCACAAGTAGTTGTTTCCTTTACGGATTTGTTGTTTTGTAACTGTCAGCCTCACAGGTTTTCCTGGCCGGCATCCGAGGAATTAATAATTTGCCGTGGAAAATCATGAGTGCGAGAATGTTAACTCTTTCAGCACTGAGCAACTCACTTTGGGTTTACTGGTTACACTTTAGATCATGGAGTGACTAGATGTTCGCCTGCGGATCGGAAGGTCGTGGGTTCCTCCCTGGCGGACCGGACTTTTTTTCAAAAATGACCTTGGCTCCCAGGTGGACCCAACCTTGAGTGGGTACCAGGTGCAAGTCCTAGGAAGTAAAGACAGCCGGCGTGATGCTGACCACATCACCCATCTTGTGCCGATTAGTCTATAAAATATAGGTCTAGCCCTATATGCCCTTTACACCTAAAGGCATAGAAAGGGGTCCTTTACTATTTTTTTTTTTCACTTTAGATCATATACATTTCTTGTGTCCTTATTCCTCATTTGGCTGGTAGGTTATCTCATTCTATCATAATGTTGTTTTTAAAGCTTATTCTATCCAATATAATTGTTATTGGAACCCACTCAGACACAGGCATCTCTTGCTTACATCAGCAGCCCACCCACACTGGATTACAGGTTACTAACCATTGTGTGGTGCCCCAATATAACTATTACTGCCCTTGAACTGGCTTTCAGGGATTTGTAACTGTGTGATTCTCATACCTCAGGTAATAATCCTGCAGAGTGCAATTTGTGCGGAGGAGAGGAGGAGAAGGGGGCTTTAAAATCTGTTTATTCATGCAACAAATGTTTAGGATATAATCAGTTTAAGCAATGCCTTCCTGGCTGAGACTGAAAGTGTTAAGAAGACCTAAGTCGGCATGAAAGTGAGCATGGAGGGAGGGCAGATTTCTTTAGTAGGCTCCTCTCCAATGTAAAAGTATAAAAGAATACTTGAGTAGAAGAATCTCGAACAGAAGACCAGGCTCTTAGTTCAGACGTTGAGGATTTTGCAGTTAAGGGACAACATCCTTATCCACAAGGAGTGAAAGCTCATTGTAGTTAGGTACTGTCAGAGTCAGTAAAATAGTACAGTTTGAAGAAGGTGGTGTTATCTTATTCAGTATTGATGCCAAGTGTACACCTTTGCATTGTTACTGGTTGTTCCTGGAAAGTGTTTACGCTAGACTGGTGTTTGTTCAAATGTAATATATATATATATATATATATATATATATATATATATATATGTGTGTGTGTGTGTGTATTTTAAAAAAATCAAATGATCATATTTCCTGTCTGTGTTAGGGCCTTATTTGGGTGGAGGGGAAGCGAATAGACCTATTGTTCCCTAACAAGCATCATAAAGCGTAACTAATTAAAAGTTTGCTGAAATCGGGGTGGATTGAGCTGAAGGACACAGCCTAGCTGTTAACCACAATGCAATGTGCCAACCACCATTTTAAGTGCAAGCGAACAAGAAGTGGCCGTGTACGCTACTTAGACTGGTGTTAACTTTCAACTTGTATGGCTTGCCCTTGTTTGTCTTGAACTTTTTCCAGTGCATGCTTTTTATACAAATGTTGTGTCTTTTAATGTGATTGGAAATGTCTCTGTTCCTAGCAACTCTTTTTCATTCAGAGTGTCTCCAGAACCTCTGTATTTGTTTGTTTTTATGAAATATGTGCTATTCTGTATATCCACATATCCAGATGCTTAGTTCAGCTAAATAATTGCTTGTTTATTGTTCAGGTTTCTTTACCATAAAGTAGGGTTTAGTTTATACAGCATTCAACTATTTTCTAGGTTTTAATAACATGTGCATATTGTTGACAGTATATATGTATGTATGTATGTATGTATGTATGTATGTATGTATGTATGTATGTATGTATGTCTGTCTGTCTGTCTGTCTGTCTGTCTGTCTGTCTGTCTGTCTGTCTGTCTGTCTGTCTGTCTGTCTGTCTGTCTGTCTGTCTGTCTGTCTGTATGTATGTATGTATGTATGTGTGTGTGTATGTATGTATGTATGTATGTATTTGTGTGTGTGTATGTATTTGTGTGTGTGTGTATATTTATGTGCATGTTTACATATATTTACATATATGTGTATATATATATATATATATATATATATATATATATATATATATATATATATATATATATATATATATATATATATATATATATATATATATATATATATATATATATATATATATATATATACACTTTTTTTAAATATATAAATGTAAATTTGTAACAGATTATTTCACTGTCAATGATTTTGATCTAGTAAATGTACAGAAAATATACTATGGTGGTGTATTACAAAACCATTGTCTGTTTTTTTGCTTTGAAACGAAACTGTGTCTGTCTATTTCAGCCTGTGCTGCTGGACAGTAGTAGCTTACAGCCAGACAGAATTCTTCTCATGGACACTTTCTTCCACATACTGATATATCATGGAGAGGTATGTCCATTCACTCTCACAATTTCTTTGTTAAAATTGTGTTTTTTGCTTCATTTCTTTAACTTCCTTACATAATAAGAAGTCTTCATTTTATTTGATCTTTTGAGTTGCTATATTTTTATAAGCTGCATTATTTGTAACATTTGGAATGACAATATGCCAACTTAAAATCTGGAAAAGTTTATGGAAAAAAAGTTGATTCTCATTATTTGCATAATTAGAAATTGATTTAGATGAGACCAGTTGTTGTCTTTGCTTTCTGTGCTATGCAACACATCCTGTGCTCATTGGTTAGCTAAAAGACAGTATAATTTCCTGACTCTCTTCTTCTTGCAGATGATTGTTACTCTAGTTAATTCTGTGCACAATGTTCGCTTAGCGTGATCATGGACCTCTGACCAACAGTTATAGTATTTTAAGCTCCTTGCACTCAAACTTTGGCTTCTTTAAACCAGAATGCCAGGAGGCAGAGTTAAACAATTGCAGGTTGCTACCAAAAGATTGTCAGACAGGGATGTTGACTAAACAGCAAGAAAGAAAACTAACCACCTGTGGAATGAGATGTTTGAGAAAGGCCGTAAACAACACTGGAAGAGTTCATGTGAAACCTAGAAATTACAAAAGCTGTTGGAACAACACATATAAATAATTTCAGTTAAAAAAAACTGAAATGGTTTGCCCATTAATGAGAGCAAATCCAATGAAATGGTTGGGGCATATTGAAAGAATGTCAGATGACAGAGAAGTAAAAACTGTTTACACGAGGGATATGAATGGTCGTAGACCACGAGGCAGACCAAGAAGACGATAGAAAGATAATATCCAGACAGACCTGCAAACACTTGGTATCACCAACTGAAAAGAGAAGGCCAGCCAGAGAGATGAATGGAGGTGGGTGATATCTGCAGCAATGAACCTCAAGGTTTCAGAATGCTGAAGAAGAAGAAAAGAAGAAAAAGAAATCCAATGATGCCAGCAACAAGAGCCTTCAGCATGAAAGTAGTAACACCAGGAGGTAGGATCAACTAAGAAGAAGACGGATTGAAGGAGTAATTGATACTTCGAGACTCCACAACATCACCGCATACCAGGCAGCCAAGCGCGCCCTACCTCAGATGCTAATCATCTGTTAACCTGTGACATCTAGTGGCACAAAGTAGAATTAGGACAAAAGAAGGACTGAAAGAGTTGAGTTTGGCTGCAGGAGATCTCTAGAAGCCTGTATCATATCAAGGTTGGATAGCTACAATTGTTTGGTTAATAAAAGAGCACATTTATTGCACATTGTTACCTGGATAAGTGCCTCAGCCTCTTTTAGATCCCTATAGAAGATTCTCAACACAGTGCACAAACTGCAACACTTTGGCAAGTATCTAAATGGGTGTTTACCAGAACGACACCTCCTATGAATATTCTTTTTCTTTTCATGTGTGTTTATAGATGTTTTTGATTTTTGAACTTTAACCTTGGTGGAATTTCTCTTTCAACTGAGATGAGAAATAGAATTCTCACGAGCTATATAAATCTTATCCTGATATACGGAAGTGAGTCATGGACTGTTGGGGGATTAGTGAAAAATTATTCGGAAACGGTGGAGATGTGGTGATATGGTTTTATAGACGCATAAGGAGAATACCCTGGACAGATTTTTTTAAAAACATCAGAGTAATGAAAAAGTTGCTAAATTAAAATGTTGGGAAAGAAACTGACTTGCGAAGAAAATTGATTGCCCACATCAGTAGGAAACAATCTACATTATTTGGTCATGAGAAGGAGAAAGCGGTGGAGAAGTTGGAGGGGAGCAAAGGCAGAAGGAGACTGAGAGAGAAGATACTGGACAGTTTAACATCTTGGCATGGACGATCGTCTCACAATAGGAGTGTGAGTACTTGACACAGAAGGTTGTGGATAGACATGACTACCAGTGCCACACGGCATGGGCTGTTAGAAGAAGAATGTGGCTAGCAGCCTATTTGGCCTATTTTTAACTACCAGTTAATTATTAAAATGCTCACATACCCTCTTAGTTTGTTTGTCATCCTAGAAGATTGGACTTCCTTCCAGTACACTACCCCAGATTTAGGGGATATAATATAGCCATGCATACAGAATACATGCACTATCTGCCTTAGCAGTATGGTTATTGTGTTTGTTTCCATAGTGCACTGATTGTAAGTGTATCTTGTTTTCATTGACTGGGTTACTGTCACACAAGTTTCTTCTTCTACAATTGACATCAGCTGTGCTATCACATATGACAGAAATACAGCCTCAAAATGTGTATATTTTATCTAGGAATAAAGCCTGTCTTACAAGTCATCAAAGAACAACAAATGAAGTGGTTTGGATACCTAACAAGAATACCCTGGTAGTATCTGCCACAGCAAACCACACTATAATGTTATAACAGGTGTAGAGCGAGTGAAAGACCTGGAGTGATGGCATTAAGAACAGCCTTACAGAAATGAACATCAGTCTTAATAGTGCTCTTGACAGAGCTTATCAACGAATGTTACATCTCCCCCCGACACTTCGCTGAGGTAAAAGGTGGAAAAGAAGAAGTATATTTCGTACAAATTAGCAAAAGTGCAACAATATAATGTTAATTAATTTTTTTTTTTCAAACCAGACAATAGCTCAGTGGAAGGCTCAAGGCTATCAAGACATGCCAGAGTATGAGAACCTGAAGCAGCTACTGCAGGCTCCACTGGATGATGCTCAGGAGATCCTTCAGACCAGATTCCCCATGCCACGTTACATTGTGACTGAGGCAGGAGCATCACAGGTAAAGCATTGACAGATCATAGATGGCTGTGTTGCCAATGAAAGCAAAATATATTCACTAGACTAACTACTTATTTCTTTGTTCACCGGCTGTAAGCTCCGGCTGAAAGTCATGTTTGTTCGTCCATTTGGATTTTGGCTTCGCCAGGGCCTGAATTTTGCATGTTTTACCAGCTTATTTGTGTGCAGTCATTTGTTCCTTGCCACTTGGGCAGATGCACTCTGACTTCAAAGATAGCAAGCAATTAGTGGACTCCTATGTCATGCTTGTTGGGGGAGGCAGTGGGTCTATTCTTGTTTTCCCCACAGTGGGGCCCCCAGAACCCACACGGGGCGACTAGACTATAACAGTTGCAGACTGTTTCACTTTAAAGTTTTCATACTCAAATATTTGTTGAAAAGCACTTTTTTAATGTAGAGGAATCATTCTTTCATTGTTGGGAATGTCCTTAGAGTGGAAAGAAACAACATTGTAATAAAGGTTAGTTAAGTGTTACAGTCTTTAACTATGAATGAACGAACGAATGAACCAACTTTATTTTCAAAGGGTCACAAATTGAAGAAGTAGTTTGGCATTGCTTACTGAACGGTCAGCTCTTGATACTGCTGTCAAAACCAACACAAGACAGTCTGCTGCCAAATTGCCTGCAGCTGGGATCAGACCTGACACCCATGCATACTGAGAGAAATTAATCACTACTCTTAATTCCTGTATTTCTTTTTTCCAATTGTGTTTAGGCCCGGTTCCTGTTGTCCAAAGTCAACCCTTCACAGACACATAATAACGTATTTGGTTTCGGAGGCCAGGTAAGCACAATCATACCATTTGCATCATTTTTGACTATTTCTTGCTATTGGCCCACAGCTGCACATTTTTTATTGCATAATATATGTACCAATATCATGAGTGTAAGTGTATGATAGTGCTAGCAGTAAAATTCTTCTAACTTTTCTACATGCCATGAAGCAACCTAGGTGTTACACTGGCTGCCTTTACTGTTGCTGTTCTTTTATGTGTGTGTGCACATGCATGTGTATGTGGGAGTACACACATTGAATATGTTAAAGTGATAAGAAATATATTCATTTAAACAAAAATTATTGAACTTGCCCATTTTCTGTTGATGACAATCTTAATTTACAAAATCAATTGAAGTTCATCATATACTTCAGTAAGTAAGTAAATTATGTAAACTTGAAAAAAACATATTGTTGAGATGAACAGAGAGAAATAATTGTTATTTAAATGTCCATGCGTGCCAGAATCTGTTGTGTGCAGTAAGCCCTAGATTGTGCTGTGTACAGTAGCTAAGTTGTGTGCAGTGCACTGTGGTTTATACTGTGTGCAGTATATTGTAGCCTTCTTTTTCTTCTTCACGTTCACTGGCTGTGAACTCTGAATGAGTTTTGGTTGCTCCTCTGTTTCTTGACTTTGGTCTTGTTGCAGAACTTGAGTTTTATCTGCACATTCATTTTAACAAATCCGGCTTATTTGTATGCAGATTATTGATTCCTCGTGTCTCAGGCAGATGCACTCTGAAGGAAACACCCCTAATAATTATTTGACTTTTGCGACATGCTTGTTAGTTTGGAGGGACAATGGATATACTCTCCCTCCCACCCTACAGTGGGGCCCTGGAATCCACATGCAGAATTTTAGATTGTAATCTGTGCTGTGCACGCTGCAGTGTAACATACATCTTAGATTGTGAAGTATGCTGTGCATGCTAGAATTCAGTGTGTGTAGTGTATCCTAGATTAGGATGAGTACTGCATGCAAGACTGTGTTCTGTGCCTCACTTACCAGTGAACTCTGGTTGTTTCCAAATATTAACAGCAGTCAATGGCTAAGGCAGTGTTTCCAACACTTTTCTTAGTCGCTGCGCCTTTTTTCAATTAACATTTTTCCACGGCGCCCTAGCCTAAGTAAAAGTATGACTATTCATGTGTGAGAGATTTTTAAAACAAAAACTTCGTCACGGCACACGGTTTGGGAATCACTGGGCTAAGCTATAGCCAGGTTCTGCATGTCAGCTTTATATGATTTTTAAACTCTTATCTTATCGTATTGGAAGAGGAAGGGGGGGGAGGGGTGCATTTTACAACGATCAACCCGCTGAATACAGCCTTTGTTATAATTGTGATCTTTTTCTTTGTGTTAAAGTAACTCATTGAAGAGCTGTTAAATATGCTGACATAAATATCTTAAATGCTTAACAATATACACAGTATGAAAAAGCAAAATTATTACAATGCACAGTATATTTAATAGATTTGAGTAGCATAATTGTTAGAAAGAAATCAGTAATGAACCCAAGCGAGTTTATTATCAGAAATATTAATAGGCGCTATATATTTCAGTTGAACAGGATATCGCTGATAAAAATACTATACAATAAATAAAAAATGGGTTGCAAAATACCTTTCTAGTAGTTGTTGTCCCATGTAGTCACATTTCCCCCTTGATCACTTTTATCAGCATTTTCAACACTTTTTCTGCATCACATTGTGTACACAAACTGAAAACAAATATATTTTAGTCTTGATTCTTTTCTGCCAAAGCACATTTGTAATCATTTCTGATGCTACCAAATTATTTTATGCTTTGAAGTCATTTTATGCAGCCGTTGTTTAGTAAAAAATATGACTTTTTGAAAACAGAATCACATGATAAATGTTGTGAAATCATTCAGTTATTGTTTGAAGTTTGAACAACGGATCAACATCATGGCACATGGGTTACCCATAAGTGCTGCATTCTACTTCTAACTTGACTTCAAGTCTGAGTCTCAGGTAGCTCAGCGCCATGCACGGGCGAGGATCCTGAAATATTTTGGGTAGATTTTTAAACTCTGTTAGGCTACTTTATTTTTTATTTCCAACTGCCATGGGAGCAGTTATTGTTTAGAATACATGGTAATATTTGCAGTAAACGCAAAATAATTATCAGAACTATTTTTAAGGAATAATGATCATGACCTGCTCTGTCTGTGGCGATAGCACTAGCCATGCGACCCTCAATCCTCAGGCTCTTGATCCCTCTCTCTGCACCGCTCGAGTACAAAGCACCTGAAGATCAGGGGCACCAGAAACAAAGGGTTAACATGATGCTGCCTTTACGTTTTTCATGAACTCATAACTGTCCATGTTGCATGCAGCTGTTGAAGACACATGCTTTATGGCCCTGATAAATCTGCTAATACAAATATTTAATCTGTTTTACTGATGTATTGTGCACAAGCAGATCATCTTAGGAGGTGGATCTTCGGCATCAGACTCGGCTGTAATTATCATTTTTATTTTGTGTTTTGTTACAAATACGTGGCATAGATTTGTTATTTACTTTCTGCATGTTTTAAGAAAGATCATTACCAGTTGCTGGATTTACTTCTTGTCTTCTACAAAATATAGGCCATCAACAAACTCACACCAAATGATCCTATTTTTCTTCATCATCCGCAGCTGACCCTATGCCCTCCATATCTTCTTCACCATACTTTCTAATTCCCTTCTCTATTTCCCTTAACCTGTGGGTTCCAGTGCAAGGACAGTCTTGTTTTTATTGTTATCAGGTTTTTTCACGGTGTTCTTTATCCAGTGGCTGCATCTTTTCCTTATCAGTTGATTCCCATGTCCTCCATATCTTCTTCAGTTCGTTCTCTAATTCCCTTCTCTGTGTGTTGATTAGCCTGTCTTTATTCCATTAACCTGTGGGTTCCAGTGCAAGGAGATTCTAATTATATTGTTATCGGGTTTCTCCATGTATATCCTATCCAGTGGCAGCATCTTTTCCACATTTCTTGATTCGCTCTAATTGGTTTGGTTCTCTTATGAAGCTCCACATTAGTGCTTCATAGTTGGTTTTTGTGGCTATGTTGTTTTATAGAATGAAGTAGCCAGCTCAGAGCTCAACCCTGCTCTTGGTTGCATCATGTGGCATAGTTAACATGATTCAGTGTTTCTCTTCTTTGCTTGTTTCTATTCTTTGTTTGTTTCTATTCTTTGCTTGTTTCTATTCTTTGCATGTTTCTATTCTTTGCTTCCACTAAGGGACCTAGCGACATATGGGTGCTGGATTTACTGTATGGGGTCATTCTTTGTAGACTTTATCTACTATGAAGTCTGCTAGTAGTTTGTTACACATGAAGCATATTTTCTAAAAACTTTCACTTGAGCATCTGCATTTTGCTAAGATCATCATCATCATCATCATCATCCACTTCAACTTTCTTGCCAGCTGGCCTAGGCATTCATGCTTCTCTATAGATCTTGGTTTTTGGTGTTCTGGATCAATTCCACTGATGATATGTCTCCATGCCACTGTCTTAAGCCATCCAGTATCATTTCTCTTGGTCTGCCTCTGTCTCTTCTGCCAGTGATCTTTCCAGTTGTCACAGTATTTTCCAGTGCTCCTTTTCTCATCACGTGACCTAAGAACTCTATCTCCTTCTCATTGTTGTAAATATTCTACTTTCATTAGCCATTTCCATGCAGTTATTGTAAGTTATTCTGGCAGTCCAAGGTATTCACAACATTCTTCTCAAGAACCACATCTCAGTTGCTTTAGATTTATTACATAAGATACTTTTCATCTTCTGAAATGCTGCCATTTCCTCGCCAATTCTGCTCCTAATTTCTGTCACACATCATCCATCTGATGTTATCAGTGTTCCCAAATACTTGAATTTATGGACTTGGTTAAGCATTATCTCTTCTATTGCTATGTCACATTTCCTCATGTCAGATGACATTCTGTAATTCAGAATTCATCATTCCAGTGAGAAGAAGAACTCATTAAATGAGCTGATTCTCAGTTTTAATTTCTTTCTACTGATTAACGGCTTTTGGTGTTTTGTGATGTTGGATGTTTTAATCCAGCAAGTTGAGGGAAATTTGGTGGTGGTGTTTATACTAGGCTGGTGCTGGGTCAGATGGTGAGCTGTATTAGCAATAACAATGTGACTATGGATATGGTGCCATATTAAAAGTAGAAACTATGTGTAAATAAGGGTAGGAAAACACATCACTATTGCATGCATAACAAGAAGCTTCTGGTCATCTGTTATTCCCCCATAAAAGAATTGTTGCTTCTTGATTGTTTCCCAGTCGTATTTTTTTATGATTAAAGATGCAACTCAATGTGTCTCTTAAATTGCTTCCATGAAATATAACAAATTCTCTATTACCACATCTGACATTTGCTCCTCAAATCAGCCTTCTGTTTGATTGCTCTTTGTTCTCTGCATGGGTTCGGAGGGCCCCATTTTAAACACTAAAGAATAGACCCACTGCCCCATAACAAGCATGTCATAGGAGGCAACTGCTTAGGGATGTTTTTTCAAAGTCGAAGTATGTCTGCCTGTGATGCAAAGAACCAACAGTTGGCATATAGATAAGCCAAATCTATAAAACAGATGTGCATGCAAAACTCGAGTTGTGGATCAAGATCAAAGTCCAGAGTGGACTAACAACCAGAATTTTCTGTAAGAGTTTACAGCTGGTGAACATTAAAAAGAAGAAAAAGATTGTTCTTTGTCAAGAGCAATTACAACCATGAATGCAGTTAGCATCTTGTCATGTTGTATCATCATCATCAGCAACATAATCCTGTCGGGCCACTGTACGCCACACAGAGCTCGGGGTCTAGTTCCCTGATCAGTTCCCTCCAGCTGTGTCAGTCAGATGCACTGGACTTTATCCTGTTGGGCCACTATACGCCACACAGGGCTCGCGGTCTAGCCTTATGTTCTGTCCTGTGCTGTCTTTTTCATTTCATGGATGGACGCCCAACACCTTTAACCTCTCTAAACAACAATTATTTTCGGCATCTCTTTGATGTCCTCTTTCCTCAGCCAATCCCTCTCTCCTTTCTGTGCACTTTTTGGTGATTCTCTGTTCCTTTCCTCTTGGAGTTTGCTTAATATACCACAACCTTCTTTGCCTTGTAACTGTTGATGCTAGGGGTTGTTGAGACATTTCTCTAATACTTCACATTTCTTAAATCCATCCCATTTAATGCTCATCAGTTTTGAATGCATTTAATTTTTCGTTCCATGTCTTTGGTGGTTGTCCAACTGTCAGTGGCGTGTGTTGAAATTGCCATCTATATCTTAGAACTGAAAATATTTAGCTTAGTTTTAAGACTGTGTAGTTTACAGTTCCATATTTAGTTTTAGGATTTTGCAATTGTGGGTGTTGGCATAATTCTTTCTGCTTCCATGTGTTTTGCATCGTCAATCCATAAGTAAACGATAGTCAGCCGACTAACTACTCTTAAATCTGCTGCAGTCCACCTAGCTTTACTTCATCAGAGTCTGTTAAAACAGTGTGTCATTGGGTCACCAGTTGCTTTTGACTGTCTGATCAGTTCCCTCCAGCTGTGTCAGTCAGATGCAGTGGACTTTATATTAGCATGTGTGGGGCCTGTCTAGAAAGCCAAGTTCTCTCCTTTACTGAGTTTTGTTTTGGAGAGGCAGATCTGATAACATATCTATATCATTGTATTTTCTGCCTTTCTACTTGTTTTAAAAGAGGTTCATAGTTGCCGGTGTGTTGGGTGATGATACTGCAGTTTTCCTCGCCTAAACTTCTAGTTGATATCTCGTTTCGTCTGGGCTTATTTTGTTGCCTGCACTCTAGTTATGATGTTCCAAAAATCCAGTTCTTATGCTTATTTTTAGCCAAGTATTGTGCGTGTGTCTGGCCACTGACTTCTGCAGAGCAGTTCTCCTCAGCAGCCTGTTCACCACTTGACTAGTCAGTTTGCCAGAATGGCTTCTCTTTCCTATGAATATCTAGAGCAAATTAATTTTTACAGCATGGGGAGTTGTTCCCAATGCCAAACCTTCCTCAGTGTACATTGTATACAAATGATAATTGTGATTAAAAGGAATTGCAGACTTAGGGTAAGGACCTGCTTAGTCTATTTTTTTTTATTGTTGTTGATGGCATGCAGATAAATCTCTTTGAAATTTACTATTTTCTCTCTATCCCCTCTATGTTTATTTTTAAAAACCCTGTCTTGTTTGAATATTTGTGTGGTATGGCATTTAAAATACATAATGCATGAAATGAAAAAGAAATAACTTTTTAGTAGTCATTACTTGCTATGTCCTTTTTAAAGGCCCCTGTTCCACACCTTTAGGTGTATAGGGAATATAGGGCTAGACCTCTATTTGTATAGACCAATCACCACTTTGTGGGTGATGTATTCAGCATAATGCCGGCTGCCTTTCCCGGGATTACATCCAGTACCCACTCAAGACTGTGTCAACCTAGAAGTCAAGGTCATTTTTGGAAGAAAAAAAGTCTGACTCCATTAGGGCGCGCACACATGACCTTCCGATCTGCAGGCGGGCATCTAGCCGCCAATGCAACGGCAACTTCCTTATGTCCTTATTTAGGTTAAATTAATAAATGCCAAATAAGATAGCTAAAGAAGCAAAGCCCCAGCCGGAGGATATAAATGAGCTGATATTTGATGATGACCATTCTTTAATATATGAAAGATGATGATAACTTCCAACACCACATAAACACTAAGCACTTCACAAATATCTGCCCTAACCTTCATCTTTGTGCTAGGGTATGCAGGTGTTCAAGGGGACGAGCGTGCAGACTATCTTGCTGATTTTGCGGCTGCTATGGCTGGCCCAGTACTGGACAGAAGTGATGTTATCAATGCCATGCGCTGCACTTACCGAACCGAGGAGCACGCCAAAGGACATGACTCAGTATCCTTGTCTAGACTGATGGAATTGGGGTGCAGCTTGGAGCTGCAACAAATGAACTTTTCACTAAGAGGACAAGACGTTTCATTAACCAACACAGAACAAGCGTCATTAGTCATTTTACACTTGTGGGGCTTTAGAGGAGGAGATCAGAGCACCTATGGATCTGTCTGAAGTGCTGTGATGATAATCCTCTCTAATCACTAATCGTCACATAAACAGCCTCAACACCTGTTGCAATAAATATAATCTGAAAATAAATAAATACCGAATAAAAAGAACAAATGACAGTATATAGAACATCAGTTCAACATATCATCAATATTGGAGAGACATTAAAACAAGCTAAGGAGTTTAAGTGCCCAGACAGTGTATTCATAAAGGAAGGAGGGTTGGACAGAGAAATAGAAAACATAATACACAAGGCCGGCAACATAAATTACCAAATGGTGCCACATGAACACAAAAAAGCAGCTGATAAAAGCACTTTTGTATCAACAACAATCAAATACAGAGATGTTGGAGAGACTTGGCACGAAAAGTTACCTGGGATAATAATGTGGTAGTTTCCCCTTGCTTTCCACATCCTCAGATTCTCTTAATACCATGGACAAAGAAAAGAAGAAATACTAAAAGATCTGAACATCAAGGAAAATTGGCTAAAACAGCATCTTGACTCAGAAGCTGAAATATTTTGGTCATATCAAACGCCACCTCGGATTGGGGAAAAAAAAAAACAATAGAAGAAAGTATGTAACTAAGGAGGGGTAGGGGCCAACCAACATGAAGATGGGCACAGGATATAAGAGACTCCTTGGATAAGAAAGTGCATGAGGCGAGAGAGCTGGCGAGGCGACTTTCTTTCAGGCAGACCGTGATGAGAGCGAGCTTCTGCAAAGGACCTGCTATGTGTTGATGATGGCGTAGGGAAAAAGCATGCTGCAGAAGCTGCCGTATCAGAAGAACAATGCTCTCTCTCTCTCTCTCACACAATGCTCTCTCTCTCTCTCTCTCTCTCTCTCTCTCTCTCTCTCTCTCTCTCTCTCTCTCTCACAAAATGCTCTCTCTCTCTCTCTCTCTCTCTCTCTCTCTCTCTCTCTCTCTCTCTCTCTCTCTCTCTCTCTCTCTCTCTCTCTCTCTCTCACAATGTTCTCTCTCTCTCTCTCTCTCTCTCTCTCTCTCTCTCTCTCTCTCTCTCTCTCTCTCTCACTCTCTCTCTCTGTGTCTCGGAGCTTCCCTCCTAGACCAGCTGCCAGTCAAGGCTGAGGGCCTGGTTTGCCCAGCCATAGCATAAAGCTATCAGGTTGCATTTTCTCTCTCTAGGGTAAGACCTTTCCAATGCACTCTGCCGGCAGAAGCCTCTCCCTTTTTTTTTTTTTTTTTTTTACGTATCCAGAAACCATGAGTTGTAAACCCTTTGGCTCGGTACTATGGATATCGCAACCCTTCGGCATTGATTCCATTATAGGTACCGTTAATCTGGGAGAAATGTGGCTTTTCTGCCTACCCCCGGGAGTGAACCCGGACCACAAGGAGTTCGTCACCCGGCCGCCGCGAAAGTCAGGTTTAACCAACTTCGCTAGAGAGCCGGGCAAGCCTCTCCCTTAAGAATATTATCAAGATTATTTTTTTAAACCTCTCATTTTTCTTCCTCACAGGATGGCTCGGTACCAGTCCTGACGGATGATGTCAGCCTGCAGGTCTTCATGGATCACTTGAAAAAACTGGCAGTATCCAGTTCCTCCTGAAATGAGACTCATTCTGGTGTTGACCTCAATCTGCCGGCACCAGTTATGTCTTCAGCTGCAAGACAGGAACAAGAAATAAAAGCCAGAGCTGTCACTTTAATTTAGCAGTTATCTTCTGGATCTCGTTCATTAGCATTCTAAAGACATTAACCTGATATGCTTTCTGAGACTGGAAACATTGAATAATTATATCATGAAATTGTTGCTTTAGGTATAAAATTACTATTTTTTTGTTAATATGAAGTGTATATAATATGTAGACAACATATGTTAACGTAATAAAAGGAGTACTTTGTGTATGTCAGTATGTTATGGAAAGGGGGGGGGGGGGCAGGTTAGATTAAAGTAGCTCATAATATTATGAAAAGGAAATAACAAATATTGGATGGGAGAATCCTGGAAAATTAATGATTGACAGGGGAATAATAGATAGAATAACAGAAAATGGTTGACATGAGAATCATAGAAAATGATTATTAAACTTGAAAATAATAGGAAATGGTGGACAGGAAAAGTAACCCTAGAAATAGAAGGGGAATGAGCTGTTCATGTTACCACCAAAAACAAAAGCCAACATTATGTTGACCTCTAACAGAATGTGTATACTTTAGAGATACAGTCTGTGAGGCTTAATTATTTAATAAAACCACCGTTGGGACAGAATAATTTAAAGTAGAATTTGGGGGCAGAATGGGTTTATCTAATAGAAGAATGGCAACAGAGGGGTTAGTATAGTATAGAGTAATTAAATACAGCGTTGTTTGGTACATAAAGAGTTGATATCATCCCCATCCCCCAGAATATACCATTAAATCATTACCTATATCGACCATCATATTCTGTACCATCATTATATTTCACCAGCAGTTTCATTATCTTACACGAGGACTGTGGTGATAAATGAGATGTGTGTTTATGTTCAAAATGCTTTTATATTACCAATCAGAATATGTAAAGGATCTTTGAGATTAAAGATCAAATCTAAATTGCCTCTTGTTGCATTCAGAATCACACATTCTATAAAACAAAATAGTAACTATTTTCACATCTTTAGCACTTTGGGCATATACTTGTGTACTTGTGTTTGTATGGACCATTGTGCCGGCCATCATTACTACTAGCAGGACATTATGAGGTACCCTATTTTAGGGTGGTTGAATCTGGGAACCAAGTTTAGTTTTTGAAATAAATCCACCTCAGTGCGGATTTGAACCCTGGACCTCTGGGCCAGAAGTGAGCGCCTAGCTGCTAGACTACTGCGATATCAGCTATAAATTAATCTTATTTTATGTTTGTCTTTTTAATTTCAAAATATTATCAGGCACCAGTCTATTTAAGCCTGCACGTTTTTAATTTCCAATTGCTGAGGATCTCTGTTAGGCAAGCAAGGTTGTTTTTGGCCCTTGCCCAGAGAAGATAAGAAGTCCATTCCACTACCAAGGGATCTGAGGGGAGAATACCATCCTTCTTATTTTGTGAAAATCCAAATGCCTTGAGAGAGACTAGCTTTTGCTTGTGCAAGAGCCAGTCTTAACCTCAGAACTCAAATCTGTGGTTGATGTGATCTTTTCTTCTTCTGTATTTGCCATTAAAAGCTAAACTGCATCTGTGCCTTTTGGCCCAACAATTTCAGCAAACTCTTAGTTGCCTTTTATAACATGCTTGTGGTTGTTGAAAGGGTGTTCTCTTCCCTAGTCCCAAAATGGGGTAGGGTAATGTGATGGTTTAAATTAATATTTCACTGTCCTCTGGCATCAAAGCAGTTAAATCAGCATGGGACCTGTCTCAGACTAAAGAGCATATCACATGAACTCTTTCCCCCATTAGTAGTTGTTTTAATACTGTAACTTTGGATCGGATGTTAAAGGTCATAACTTGTGTGACTAAAGGATTTATCATGATCATTACAAAGACGGAATAAAATGGCTTTCCCCACTTGTAATTCAAAACTGGAAGGCAAATGCTTAAAGAGGAGAAGGACATAAAGCATGAAGTAGGTCAAGAACAAGATGGAAGGGCAACATCAGAGAAACTACAACAGCATGAAGTGTCTGTGGCTGAGGCAGCTAGAAGAGTAGATCCAGAACCTTAAATCTCCCTCGAAACCTGAAGCGGTACAGGAGGAAGTGAAGAAGAAGAAGACACATACTGAAGCAGTAGCAGCTAGGATAACTAGTTAAAAGTGATAGTCTTTGGCTGAAACAGAATAGACAATCACAATAATTTTAGTCATCAAAGTAGTATCTATGTGATCAAACTGGTAAGTGGCTTTGGCTTTGTTCAGAAAACATTTTTCTATGCGATGAAGTGGTGAAGCTGTTTGCCTCATGCTCTGGAACTCATAGGTTTGTTTCAAAGCTGTGTCATTCAGTTCACAAGCACAATTTTTACAGAGATCACTGAGGATCATATGCTGGAACTACAGTGTTCATGTTTTATGCGATGCTCTCGGCAGATAGCTAGCCATTCTGTGGAGAAAGAGAGAGAGAGAGAGGAGAGAGAGACCTAGCCTTGTGGGATACAAACTGGTCCAATGATCCTGTCGACGTTGGCAAACATTTTTCCAAGAAGAGCTGTCAAGACAAGGTGATATCTTTTAAGCTAAAGATGCTGTAAGGGAGTTGCCGTGGCAGAGCAGCTAGACGCTCCTCGCTGATCGGAATTTTGTGGGTTTGCTTCCTGGTGGAACCAGCCTTTTTTTTTTAAATGACTTTGGCTCCCATGTCGACCCAGCCTTGAGTGGGTACAGGTTGCAGTCCCAGGAAGTAAAGGCGGCTGGCGTGATGCTAACCGCATCACCCATCTTGTGCCGATTGGACTATCAAATAGAGGTCTAGCCCTATACGCCCAAAGGCGTGGAAAAGGGTCATTTACTTTTACTTTACCTCAAAGATGACGTAAACTGTCACATAAAAGCAAACTCTTTAATACCATTGGCCCATTGGGTCTATGGTGCTAGACATCTATATTTATAGACCAGTTGACATTTGATGGGTCAGTATCCTGCAGGCTACCTTTATCACCCATTAAAATTCCTGGGACCCATTTTAGGCTGGATCATGGTAGCCTAGGTCATTTATGAAAACCCCATTTTCTTCTGAATAAATATTTATATTCTTGCATTTCATTGAGCTAATTTATTTATTGTTAAAAATTTGCTCTGCTTTGGAAAAGTTGGGTTAGTTATTTTATACTGTTTCTCTCTTGGTGGATTTAATTTGACGTCAAATACATAAACATTTTGTCAATTTCATGGATATTTTGACATTGTCAGGTAATAAATTTCTGTGCTAATATAATATATCTGTTACTTGTTGTTCTGTTTATAGTTGTTGACTGTGGGCTCAGTAATTTAGAGGTTGGTTAGCCTGTTTAATGGTTATCAGTGTGCCAGCAATTTACGTTATGCTGATGACACAGTCTTGGTAGCAACAAGTCAGAAAGAACTACAGGAAATTATAGACATTGTGGTGTTAGAAAGTGGAAGAATGGTCCTCAGTTTGAATAATGGGAAGACAGAAGTAATGGTGGTATCAAAGAAACAAATTATTCCTAAATGTGTAATAAAAGTCGGTTATGTTATTTTAGGACAAGTACAGAAATTTAAGTTTCTGGGCACATTGATAACATCAGATGGAAGATGCATAACTGAGATAAGATAAGGCAAAAACTGCATTTTATTAAATGAAAAACATCTTGTGCAATAAATCCTTGTCATTGAGAGTTAGAAAAAGAATTCTTGCTTGCTGCATACATCCAGTTTTAACATATGGCTGTGAATCCTGGACAATCGGTAGGCAGGCCAAACAATTTATAGAGGCCTCAGAGACGTGGTTTTACAGAAGAATGCTTAAAATACCTTGGACAGCCAAAAAGAGCAACCAAGAGGTTTTGAAAGAGGCGGGAGCCCGAAGACAACTTATCACAGACATCTGAAGGAGACGGTCATCATTTTTCAGCCATGTTATGAGAAGAGTTGAAATGGAACATGTTGTGACCACTGGAAAGATCTGTGGAAGGAGGGATAGAGGAAGACAACGAGAGAAGATGCTTGACAGTCTTGTTGCATGGCATGGAGGTGTGTCGGCACACGAACTGATACATGCTGCAGGAGATCGCAGATTATGGAGAGGAATGATCGCCCACGCCAGTCGGCAAGGCACCTGATGATGATGATGAGTGTGCCAGCGTTTGTTTGATTTCAGCGATGGACTCACGGAGCATGTTGGGAAAGGCGAAGACAGGCATGCTGCATGCAGAGTGGCAAGCAATCACTTCAGAGGTCCTAGGTAGTAGGCATTCTTTAGATATTTTCTCCAGGTTATGCCGACGTGTTGGGAAATGAGCAGGCAGATAGACTGACTGGTTCTGCACCACTTGGGGATGAATTGATGTGTAAGAAGCTAGATGTTGTAAGGGCTCTTTGGAAGCAAGTGAAATGTACGGAGGCACAGATAGATCATTACAGACAGAAGAGTAGGCCTGCGGGAGTTAACAGGGGATCTGGCTGACGCTCAACACTCAAGGGAAGGGCAAGAAAAATATACAATCAGACAGTTATGGTACCATCGGAATTATAATTCTTGGCTTGTTGTTGGAGATGGAGCACTTATGGGGGTGTCTTGAGTGCTATGATGTTGATTCTTAATTGAACATTTCAAGGATGGTTGGTTTTTAAAAAAAAAGTTCTTATGGCTTTAAGACAGTGGCACAAGATTGACACCGTGGAAGAGACTGGAGCTTCATCACATAGTATTCCCAAATAGAGCAGTTCAACCTCCATTGTGGAGAGAGCTCATTTTCTTCATTTATTATCCTTATTTAGTTGTTATTTATTCTTGATGGTCGGGAATCTCCTTGGCGAAGTGGTCAAGCCATTTGCCTTGCAATGTTAAGACTGTGGGTTCATTTCACAGTTGCATTGTTTGGTTCACAAGTGTAATTTTTATGGAGAACCCTGGGATAGTTGCCAGAGCTGTGGACTTTATGCTTTGTGCAAT